GGGTCGTGGAGGGTGAGCAATAAGAGAGAGAATTGAAAGTTTCAGATCCCTTAATGGTGCTGGATTGAGCTTAAAATGAATGGGTAAAAGCAAGGAACCGTGGTAGAAGTGTGGATAGCCAGGATGAACGTGGATGGAATCCATAGAGAAACAGATAATGGAACTCCTGTGAGGGTCTTTTGCAAGTTCAGGACCACAGAAGGAGCAGTGCTTGCAAAAAGCAGAAGTTGCAGGAAAAGTCATCTGGCATATTGGGGTACTCAGTGCAAACCACACGCAGACACCCCTTTGGATGACCCTCCAGTGCCATAAAAGGACTTCCAGAAAAAGGCAGAACCATGCAATTTTTTTTTCCAGAGAAAGTGATGTAACTGCATTAGCTAAGAAGCCCCTTCCAATGAATATTTATAATTGTAGTGGAAAAATACCCCATGGCAAAATCTCCCCTTGAGCTGCAGGACCAGGAGAGATCCGCTGTGAGTGTGAGCTGATAAAGAAATCCAGCTTTGTGATACCTCCACTTCCATCAGGGAGTTCACTCCAGCCAGTTTCAGCATCAGGGGCTGGTGGACAATGGGGTCATTTGAGACAGGCACACAGGCCTGGGTTTGGGACTGCGGCCATGGGAGGCACCAGGGGACATTGTGGGAGCAGGGGGTGACCCCTGCATTTGGGTTGGAGTCCTGGGGTGACACCAAAAGGGTGACAGGACTGGGAGTGGAAGTGGGGTATGGGAGAGGGCCAGGGAGCACACTGGGGCTAGTGAGGGAGTGGCTTTAGGGATTTCGTTGAGGTTTGTAATCATCCCGGCATCACAAGAGGGTCTTCAGAGGATTTGGAGCAGGCTTGACTTACTGGGGAGCACTGGGGGGACATCAGAAGGGTAAACACAGGACTGGGACTGGGACGGGACTGGTGCGGCACTGGGGAGGTCAGGGGTTGTCCCCAGGGTTTGGGCTGGGGAACTGCAGAGGGGCTGTGGTGACACTAAGGGAGAAGGGACACAGGACTGGGAGTGGGGTCGTGAGGCTTGTGGGCACAGGAATGACGTTGGGGGGAAGACAGCAGTGGGGTCCAGGGGGGCATTGTGGCAGTGGGTTTGAGGTCATGGGGCGCACTGCTGGGGGGTCAGGGAGTGACCCCATAATTTGAATCATGGTCCTGGGAGGCCTCAAAGGGTTGAGAATAGGAGACCATGGGAGTGGGATTGTTGTCCTGGGGATCTGAGGGGCACTGGGGAGTCCTGGAATGAGCCCAGGTTTTCAGATCTGCATTCCAGGATGTGTCCAGTTGTCTTCTAACTGGAGCTGCCCCCTTCTCCTGGGCTGACCTCCCTCCCCCACCCCCACCTCAGCCCCTCACAGAGGGAGCCTTCCCATGTACCCCTGTGTGCCCTAATTGTCCCTTCAGTGTGTCCCCTTTTGTCCCCCAGTGTCCCACACCAGTCCCTTGGCTTCTCCCATTGGCTTCTCCCCACCACGTCCCTCCAGGCTCGCACCCTGGCACTGCTGGCAATGACCATGGCAAGTGCCATTGCCAGAATTATTTAATGGAATTGTTTTGATAGAATTATTTATTAGAACTGCTTTGCACAATGGCCTTGGTGGCCACACCGGTCACAGTGGCTGTGGCAGCCTTGTGGCTGAGGGATTCGTGGTGATCGTGGTGGCCACAGTTGCCACAGTGACCACAGTGACCTCGGTGGCCTGATGGCTCAGAGAATTCGGGTGGCCACTGCCAGGGCTGTGGTGGCCAGGAGGGATCCTCCAAAGTGGAAGGGGTCCCTGGAGATGCTCCCACATGGGGGACAAAGAGTGGGGTGAGGGCAGCCAAGTGGAGAATGAAGGGGTCAGTTCCAGCCATAATGGGGGGGTTGGGGTGACAGGTGACTTGGTGGCCATGAGGTGACAGGGTGTCTGATGGCAGCATGGGGGGATAGAAGAACCAGGGAGATCAGGGGTGTCATGGTGGTCTCAGGGGTGACAGGGGTCAGGGGGAGTCAGGGAGTGCCAGGGAGGGAACAGGGAGTGCCATGGGGGGTTCAGGGAGTGCCATGTCCAGGCCTCACTTCTGGGGGTGAAATTCCTTTCTCAGGAATTAACACCAGGGTGCTTTGTTGAGGAACCTCTCGTGAACTTTATTGCAAGTGTTTTTCCCTTAGGGATTCATCAATCCCCAAGGTGGTGTGCCCTGGATTGTGGTGCGGCCACTTCTTTGGGCAGCTGGGCGGAATCGAGCAGGGACAATAATTTTT